ATTTAGTTTAGCTGTGGACTTTGGGGGTGAAGAATTTCTGAAATTTGAAGTTACCTTCGAACGATTCGTGTGATTCACGAAATATTTTCAGTATGTTTAAAAATTGGAAAATTTTTTAAATTGCGCGCATTAGATATGTTTAAAGATCATTCTTCTTACGCTTCTCTGACTAAACAGTTCCCTAATTCCAATCACCACTGGAGATAAGGCTAGAGTAGCCTCGAACACTGCGTTCACTTGACCACGTTTCCCGTTTGCGTCGATTTCGAGGGCACGTGGAGCATTTGCCGAAAAGTGACCACAGTTCGGGGTTAGAGTAATCCAAAGGGAGATTCGTAGGGTTGATGGATTCGAGGATAGCGTGTTGGCCCCGTCAGATCGCGCCACTTTTGATTCGCGTTATTTAATTCTAATCAAACCTGGGTCTCGTTTCTATTTGTCCTTCCCCCTCACCTTCTCCCGAACCAAGCAACGCAACACAGAAGTTCCCACAGAAATTTCTTTCCTTTTCAAAGTGATGATTTTCTCCACTACTTCGAGAAAATCCTCAGAAGCTACTCAGAATCGTGGTTCCCCGAACGTAACGTTCGAAGGTTCCTCTCCAGGGAAACGCGATCGAAAGCAAGGCTGCCAGCGAGGAGAGGGATGGAAAATTGCTATAGAGCCTTAGGGTAACGATCGCGATAACGCAGCCGGCCATTAAACAGCGGCTTGAAGTATGCGCGCACATTTCGAGTGCGTAACCGTGTTACGGTTCGTAGAGTCGACACGCATCTACGCAATCGGTTAGGTTCGGCTGGCGAGAGGGTTGTTCGAAAAAAATCGAATTACTTGTCGCTTTATCACCCGGTGAAATATGAATATTCTCTAGATTCGTTTGCGTTCGTAAAATCACTTCGATGGACTTTGACGGTTTGCACAAGCATTGAAAGCAGTAATAACGTTTGTTTGTTTAATAATATTTAATCAATGATAAAATCAATTCTTTGCCGGAAACATCCTCTCGTCATTGAAAGACGTTTCGACCAGGTTTTAGCAGAACGTCGTTAGTCTTAACGATTGCAATTAGTGTCATCAAAATTGCACGTAGTCGTTCGCGATTGTAACCTTGGCGAGTTCCTTGAATGCGCGCGTCGCGTCAGGTAGCTTTAGGTTTGCCTGAAAAATTTCGTTTCTTCAATAAATCAATCCAGAAATAATTCAATTTCGGCGAAATTGAATAAAAATATAGTGATTTCTGTAACATTTGGCGCTACGTGAAATCATTCTTTTTCTTTCGATTACATTGCTAGAAACGTGAATTCACTCGAAAGTTTTATGTATTTTCGCACCTTTACATTCCTTTACAATCCAGTTTAGTTTCAAAAAAAAAACTAACGCTAACAGTTTTCATTCGATAGAATCTCGGATATATTCGATACACGTCGTAATACGAGCAGTTGACGATTGGATCGGCATGTCACGATGACGGAATGCATAACGAACGAAACGAGAGGCAAAAATGAGAAAAATAAATTATAGATTTCGCGAAACAATGTCGCAGACGGAACCGATGAATGTGACACGCGTTTACGTAACCGACTTTTGTTCTGCCGTACCGTGGGAAGAAAGCAAATCGTGAACCGTGCAATTTGCGCGGCAGAAAACAACATTTTCATTGCGTCCTGAAACTGCAAATTCGCCGGAGGACGAAACCGATGTGACAATGAACGTAATTGTCCTTCATTCGTCTCTCGTTCTGACCACTTTGCAATTTATCTACGATTCGTTCGCGAATTTATCGATAAATTTATCACGGTGATAAAATTCGTTAATTTTTACGATTGGTGAGATTTGTTAAACTCGTTGGTCTTGAACGACATTTTATTACGCGTATCCGAATGAACATTTTCCCCCAGAAATAGTTTTCGAACGACGGACGAAAGTTAGCGCGAAATTTGTTTCGTTTGCAACGATTAACCATCCCCGGTTAATCAGCTTATTCGTAACTCCCGTAGGTAAAGGCTGCCATTAAAATTGAATTATAGTCGCCAAGCTGCTGGTCGTTACTAAATTTGGACCACAGCGGTTCTCACAACGGTTAGCCACCATCTGGCGATTATTTTAATTACGTTTACCACAACAGCCGACTATCAAGGTACGTACACAGTTCGTAATTCTCCCGGCAATTAGTAAGCCCCGTAGATCGTTACTTTATTTCTTGCCGGTCAGTTCATGCGTGAAGGATTCCACGAAGCTGCGCCGCAATTTGCAAGTCTTTCCCTCCTGATTTCAGACCATTAGAGAGACTCAATGTTATCAACTTTCGCCTTTTTACTTTCGGCTCGGCAGATCGGAATTCCCTCTGAAGATTCAAGTTTGTGAGGTTTGCTCTTTACTGGGTCAACTGGAGAATTAAATTTCTGCTAGGAATTTAAGTTCTTTGGAATTTTGTTCTCGCGTGTAGCGTTAGTGACAAAAAAAAAAAAAAAAAAAAAAATTAGAGAAAAATGTGACTAGAGAAGATAAGGGGAAAGAAATAGTGAATGAAGGAGGGAAAAGGCAACGTCCACGTGGCACTCCTTTCCTCTCCTGTCCTCGTCCCAATAATTAACCGTGTTTTGCACGCCGGGGAACGCGCGATCAGCCAACGAAAGAACAAAAGGCCGGCCTTTGGGCCCTGATGGTATCTGAATGAGACTATTCCTCCGAGGACCTCCGTCCGTTCCTCGTCCCGGATAATGGATTCGGTGTCATCTAATAATTAATAGAGTTCTTCTCTCGGTGCTGCCGCGCGAACTCTCGCAGGCATCGGCCGCCTCCTACATGGACGGCAATCTCATTCATCACGCTTTCTAACCCCTAAGCATTTTAATTAAGGCCATCGCCGTTTTTCCCTCCGTCGTTCTTGCCCCCTTTGCTTCTTTCTTCGCCATCGTTGCCCCCTTTCCTCCCGAGCGGATGCGTTTTGCCTGCGATTCGCGCGTTACCTTAGAGAGGAAGCTCGCACTTTTCGATGGACTTGGACACGACAAAATCTATCACTGAGTTTATCGTTGTTGAAGCGCGTAGAGCAGTGTGACTTTATAATAATTAATGAGGTAATAATTACTTAGGAATAACAATTTTACTTAGCGGACTTTTATTGCAAAGATGAACGTTGACAATATTAATTCGAGCTGCTTATATAAATAATACATACACATACACGTATATCACATACATACTAGTTGTACAGTCAAACGATACGAGATGTCGCGATTATAATAGATCTATAAGATAGATCTAACAATTGTTCATTGTTTAGAGTTTAGAGTGTTTTAGTGTTAAGGAAATTTATGATTTGTAGCTGAAGTTTAACATTTAAGATAGTTTGAATATCATATTAGTATATACAAGTATATGTAGAATTTGCAAAGACATCCTTAAGCCGCAGAACAAGAGGATTGTGTATAATAAATAAATAAATAATGCAGTATCGTCGTTTTACTAGAAAAATTTCGCTGAGAATTGAGGAAAAATTAATGTTTTTAAAAATTGGTTTAGTCGATATTTAAATTTACTCTATTATAAATTTATTATTTTGTGCGTGTATGATATTTGTAATTGAATTTGTAGATTATAACAAATTATAATATTTGTACAAATATTCGCAGTCTGATTATTACTAAGAAAATCATAGGCGGTGCCATGTCTTTGATGGGGATTCTGCACTCAGCCGTGCGGCATGGGGTCCCAGTTCCACGGTAAACGGTTCAATTAAACAAATAATTTGTACTCGATTCGTAACGCTCGATTTTGCATACGTGTCTGGTCATTGGCGTCGAGGTTTGTTTCTTCTTCTCAAGCGAAATGCACGCTCTTCCATTTAAGAAGGTGAATTAGAAAATAATATTTGTAAATGTAATGCAGAAAATTTTTATTGTAATTACATCGTCGTGTCTCGGACATGCATTCTACTTTAAACGTATCATGCATTATAATAGAGTGATTCACGGAACTTGCACACCCGAATGAAAAATCTCCGTCTAATGAAAAATTGTTCAACACGAAAGTTGTATGGTTTTAAGAGAAGCAAAGTATGACGTATCAACTTTTTGAAATTCCCAAAATGCATGAATTCAGAAACATTCACGTATCCTTTGATCTGGATCAATCAGCAAGATATTTTTGCAGAAGAAGGTACATGTCCGTGGTTACGCCGTTGGAGAACTCAGGCCACCGCATGGTAGTCAGCTTCCACTTGTCATAATCGTCGAACAATTTATGCATCTTATACTCGGCTATGCACGGACAAACCCGACGAAAGAGAAAGAGAGGAAAGCAGGAAAGGATACGCGCAGACGGAACGAAAGGGAAACGAGAGAAAGAAATTGGCAGTGAGCGCAGATGGAAGAAGTACTTTGTAATAACTATACTTATCCCGGAGAATTCCGGGACTGTTGAGTGGGCATATCGGTCCGCTGGCTTTCCTCTCGTGTCAATCAACCTTCGGATAGTGGTCGCCTTTAATTATCAAGATCCTTCGCTCGTAGGCCGCCTGTTGTTCGAATCTCGAAGGTGGCCGAAGGAATTTCTGCATCCAGTCGAACGCGAACACCGCAGGCAACGCGATTATCTCCTCTTGCCCTGGCTAATTAAATCGACGTCACTTTTTCTCTTTTCTTTCCCCCTTTCCTTTTCTATCGTGGAAATCTTCGATGACGTGTCCTTCAATGATACTTCAGCAATCGTTTTCTATTTCGCGTGACTTGTACCAGGACGTGTCTTTTTAAAAATCTGATGCGAAATTGTTGGAAGGAATTCAGCCATTTTCTATTATTAGTTCGACCATCGATACGATACATTTTTTTTTTTTTCTATTTTATATCAGTGATTTCGACTTTTAGAATATTTCGTTCGCATAGCTGATTGAAGAAGATGGAGAAGATCTTCGATAAAAATAAATATAAATGAATTTGGTAAAAATCGATCAGTTTTGATAAACTCTGCCAACATAACTCTGTCTCTTTCCGTTGCAGTTTGAAACCACCGCAAAAGGACGGGGTGACCAAGTCGAATCCGAGCAAGCGGCATCGCGAGCGATTGAACGCCGAATTGGACACGCTGGCGTCGTTACTCCCATTCGAGCAGAACATTCTCAGCAAGCTGGACCGGCTCAGCATCCTCCGACTCAGCGTCAGCTATCTTCGAACGAAGAGCTACTTTCAAGGTAACTGTCTCTCCAGATCCATCAATCCGCGTCAATCCTCCCGCATAAATCTCAATTTCACTCATGAATATGATAAACCGTCCCCAACGGGGAGGAACGAAAATTCCATTAAGACGATCAAGATGTTGATACTTGGACTATTAATTAACGCGAGGAAATCGCGGATCTCGCGAAGCAAGATGGCGAACGAATAAATAGATTTCTCTATATCTCTCTAGCTGCTCTCTCGCTTAACATCGTTGCTCATCCAGGAGCATTAGCATCCTATTCGCGGTATACGGCCATAGCGAGCACGCGATGCTGTCGTTACCCTGTCTCCGAGGGGAACAATAAGATTCAAAAACAATGGCCGCTGTTCTTCCGCGATCCTTGCAATTCGTCTGTTCTCCGTCGAACTTCTGCGTTTCCTCGGCAACCATTGTGCGATCCACGGCCGGCTATTGTTGGATCCACGTCGCATTGTGCAAACCTTGCGCGGGGAAAGTGGTCGACGATACGCATGCAAACGCGTATGCGTTCGCGTACGTTTTCTTTGCTTTTCGATTTCGGCGGATATCTTTCGGATATCCCTTCGTGTTAACGTCACGTCTGGATTTTTGCGGGTTTTTATTTTTTTTTTTTTTTTTTTTGTACGTTTCTAACGAACTTGAAATGTGCGGCGAGGGTGCGCACGAATTTTTAACAACGATCGAAATTTCTTTGATCATCGATAATCGGTCGTCGACGATCCGAATCATTGATATTGAGATTTATTGAGATATTAATTCTTATGTTATAACATTTTTAATTTGACTCCAGCTGAATTAATTATAGCACTTGATATAAAATTAGAGATTTTTTAAGTATCTATTTTAGTATCTTTTAAGTATCTATTTTTATCTGAATTAATTATAGCACTTGATATAGAATTAGAGATTTTTTTAAGTATCTATTTTTTTTTTAAATAATAAAAAAAAAAGGTACTTATGTTAATCTCTTGTCGAAGGGATTCGGCACGTTGCTTTTCAATTGAAATTCAAATTTAAATTCTTCAAATTGAAATTGTAAATTGTTCAATAAATGTAAATTATAAATAACGCTTCAACGTTTTACATCTAGAACAATGTTACAATCGCGATAGATAACACTTGCCTGAAAATTGCAAAATTCTAAGACACAAGGAGTCAATTAAACTTCTTTGCTGAGAAACTACAAATTTACGCGTTTGGGAGAATAAATATTTCAACGAGACGAAGTGCGATCGACGTGAATCGTTCGTTGGCAATAAATCGTGGAAAAAGTTACGAAGGAGGGGGGAAAGATCGAAATCACGTTAAACGTGGTTAAACGTCAACGAGAATTCCCATATCGATTCCTGAACCGAACTCTGTCGCGGGACAGACGAAAAACGAGTCGAGCTGGGGAACGAGCGGTTCTCTGTAGAACGTAGGGCGAGCTTTGCCAATCAATATGCCTGAAAATTCGTCGTAAAAAGATAAGCCCCGGTTATTACGAGAAACTCGCGGCGCTCATTTGCCCGAAGGTTGTAATTTCTGCACAAAGAAGAGTTTATAATCCGTTCGTGACGCGGAATCGTAACATTGCTCAACCCATTTGCATTGCTTATTCATAATTAGTCAAGATATCCGCGCAGCTATGACATTTTTAAATTTTAGGTCAGCTTAAAGTTACCGTTCCTGTTATATAACGATACGCTCTGCTCAGTGATCGAATCACGTCGATGATTTTCGTTGGAATTCAATTGACTTCGTCTGGTACGGTGATTCGGTCTCGTTCCTTCTCGTTTCGATTTTACCTTCCCTACCGATTCCGTTCAATTGAACGACAGAAATAAATTAATTCGCGCCAACGTGACCCAATTTTTCTGTCTCTCTCTCTTTTTTTTTTTTTTTGAATCCGTGGTTCCCAATTGCGTGACTGTTTAAGATTACAGTGTTCAAGGTTATTTTACTTATCGGCATTTGTTAAAAAAAGAAAAAAAAAATAGTGGACATTTAAAGCAAGGGCGCTTGTCGGAGATAGAAGGGGAAATTACAACTTGTAGATTGGAGAAAAATTGCCATCAGCGTTTAGATGCGAAACCGTGGAGCACGAGCAAGAGATATGCCCAAGTTATAGATCATTAGGATTAAACTGTTGAGTTTAGAAGAAAGAATTTACGATCGACGATGTTTTATTTTTAGTAAATGAGAAGAAATTTGAAAACGGCAGTTTCAGTAAATTGAAAATAATATAATTCGATACCTCAGTGGGTGATAATTTTAAGAAACAGCAATTGCTCTCTTAAGAACCAATTTATTAGAATGCAAGAAGCTGTCATCTTCAACTTGGAAGAATTTCTAAAGGGAGAAATGGAGACTCTGATGAACGCGCGAAGTCATACTAGAAATTCCTCAATCTTCCTCGCAAAAGATTACGTGACGATCTCGCCCGTATAAATTTCTTTAGATCGTGAATGATGATGGAAGAAACGTAACTACACAATCGACGTGCTTGTATTCCTGCATGAAAGATTCTCAAATTATCTTTCGACAGATTTTCATTGAAAACACGCCTGTCGAAGAAAGATAGGAAAGAAGAAGAAAGGGGCCAAAAGCAGTTATGCAACTGCATCGGGTGGCGGCAGGAGCGCGGCTTCCTGCGCCGCGGGTGTGCAATCTCATCTGCAATCGCAATCAGGTGGGGGCCAATCGAAGAATCGCCGCGGAATAATGGGTAGACGTTCCTCTTTCTTCCCGTCCATTATCTTTCTACCCCGGTCTCTGGAGGAGTCGCGAGGAAGGCAACTCCAATCTCTCACGACGAACGTGCGCGCGGCCTCTAAGTGTGCCCACACGAAACCTTCGTAATGCGGCTTCTACACTTTTATCGATTTAACGCCGCTAAGTACTGCGAACCTGGCCACGGACGATCGCTCCCCTCTTCGACCTTCTCTCTCTCTCTCTTACACCGCTTGTCTTGAAACGCTTTCTCCTTGTCGTTTCTTCGATTCCTCTCCTTCGCTTGAAATTTGTGAGGAAAGGATCGTCGTTTCGATCGATTTATCTCCGTTTGTCATTTGGAATTTTTGCTCCTCGGATCGATCGATCCTGCTAAGTTACACAGCATTCGGCGAAAAGAACATCGAAGAACAGTTTCTGTTATTTCTCCCTGCGTACAAATCTCCCTTAAACAAATCCTTCTACGAAAAGTCGCTTTCTACTTTCAACTTTGATTCGTTCGTTCCTCGATCTTACCCAATTCGAGTCTCGGATCCTGTTCGCGGTGGCTAGTAAGTAAGGCGAGGTAGAAGAGAGGACGAAAGGACGCGTGGGTCGCGGCTTTCGTATGCAAGGTAATGGACACGAATCCGGATCGCGGGGCGCGCGCGCGCGCGCGCGAGACCGGGAATGCGAATGCGGCTGCGAGGAAGATCGGAGGAACGTGGAATGCGAACGCGCGAGAAGAACACGCGGCCACTCGCGACGACGGTTCATGCTATGCTATGCTATGCTACGCTGTGTGTGCTGTGTGCTGTGCGCTGTGTGTCGGGGGACCCGTCGAACAGAGCGAGAGAACCACGTTCCCGATATCGCGGATCTCGCAGTATATCACCTGCGGGCCACAAGAGGTTGGCCGGCCTCTACTTAGCGCTCTTGTTGCTACCGGGGCCAGCGATCCTGAGAGCGAAGCCACGGCCCAGCCCCGGGGCATTGTTCACACCGTTTTAATAGGTATTCATTGTCGGACCTCAGATCTTTTCCGAAGACTCCCGGGAGAGTGTCGCCCGATGCCCCGATACCTGGGAGTTCTTGCGCATTACCAGCTCCTCACCTGGCTCTCCTTACCTCTCAACCCCTCCAACCCTCCATCGCCCCTCCCCCCTCTTCCCCTACTCTTGTTGCTAGTGGAGTTAAGCTCCCAAGTTTCTTCGGGTTTGTTGTTGTGCGCGCGGCGGGTTCGCTAATTGCGAAAAATGCGTGCCCTCGTCTAATAAGGGAAGCTCGGGATATGGGTCTTCGTCGAAGATTTCGATCAAGCTGGATGGGCTGGTGGTTTCTCGGTGTGTGGAACGGGCGCAGTTACGATTTTAATCGCGGATGGTCGATCACCTGCGGCGAGAAAAGATGGAATTCGATGTTTCGGGAGGATCGTTGGCAACCCGGCAAGTTGAAGACAAAAATGTACAGTGTTCGTTTCTCGTAACTGCGACTTTGATGGATCTGCGACGAGATTTAAGTAGATCGATAAGAAGTACCGCGAGGGATTAAGGGTGAAGTTTAATGTTGTTCGAAGGAAGTTGGGAAGGGAGAGGATGTTGACTGAGGGAAGAAGTTCGAGGGACACGCAACTCGATAATAATTATAATTATAAATAGATCGATCACAAACATCAGAGATAGCTTCCCATTGAGAAATATATTTACAATGCAATTTCTCTCAATATCCAAAAACCGTTCTCTCAGAACAGAATGATGCGAAGGAAGAAATATCACAACGAAATATTGTAAAAATATCAAGTAGAAACAAAATATCATGTAGAAACAAAAATGCTTCGAATGGAGAAGATCGGTCAATCAGAGAGATGGCGTCGAATGGGGAGCAGAGGAGAGAAATAAAAAAGAAACGGGGAAACGTAACACGAGGACTGCCGGCAATAAGATCGACGGGGAGGAGGTTAATTACCGAGACTCGTCGCTTTGGACCTTTTATGGGGGTCTACGGAGAACGGCGAAACGCGCGAGAAGGAACGGTAAGCGTTAGTAAAAAAGCGAAAGAGGCGCAACCCCCACGATCCGCTATCTGAATCTCCTGCAACGTTCGCCACCTTCTCCTTTTCTTCTTCTTCTGCTTCTTCTCTTCCCTTCGTCGTATTTTTCTTCTTCTTCTTCTCCTTCTCCTTCTTCTTCTTCTTCTTCTTCTTCTTCTTCTTTGTCGTCGTATTCTTATTATTTTTACTAGCTAACCGGAGGCGAGGACGCACCACGTGCCCCGTTTGAAAAATCAGCGCGTTTACCAAGA